ACTTTACACATTGTTTGGATACATTTATTTTCTTACTTTCAAATTACTGTTTTGATAAGTGTGTTTAGTACAGTATATGCTCTTCTTGTTTTATCCTGTTCATTTTGTGTTTAAATGCTAAAAAAAAAGAACCATATTTAGGTGTAATTTTTTGGGGCCAGGAACCAATTAATTGGTTTTCTATTATTTCTTATGGGGAATAATCGATAAGAACTCGAACTTTTTAATTAATTCGAGTTCTGAGGTACCACTGTTTTTCAAAATTATTAGTTGCTCTGGTTTAATGACTTTTAGATTATTTTTTCCAAATTGCTAGCCAAAAATCTCATTGCTGTAACAGTTTTAATAAATAACAAATAAATTTCAGTGATATTTTTTGCTCTGTTTTTTATTAGTTTTGTAATTTTGTTACTTTTGCCCTAGTTTTGATTAAATGCTTAGAGAAATAAGTGGTTATATTATAATACAGTTTAATCAGCCCAGTGGAAAAATCAACAGTGTAGACATTGAAGTCGTATAATTTGAGTTTACAAGTTTCTTTGAACTAATTTTCAAAATTAGAGAAATTACGGTAGTGAGTTTGTGAGAATGACCCAATTGTCTACTGTAGCCAATCACATTTGCTTTTTCTTTCTCTCGGTCTCTTGCTGCTTGAAGCTGAACATCGGCTGCGAGGTCCAGTTCAGCCCGTTGGCCCCAGTGATGCTGCAGTACTCCCACGACGCTGGCCGTACCTGGGCTCTGGTCCAGGAGAGCTGCTACCCAGGTTCACCAGCGGGGGGCGCCTGCGAGGGCAGTGGCCGCGAATTTCAGGAGCCCAGCGTCTACAACACGGGTGACTACGAGCGCTGGAGCAGGGTCACCGTGGTGATACCGCGTGGCGTGGCCGCCAGGTGAGGTGTAGGGACACACACACACACACACACACACACACACACACACACATACACGCACGTGTGTGTATGTGACTCTTTAACCTTCATCGGACTCTTCCTCCTTCCCCTCCTCTCCCTCAGTAAGACGCGGTTCCGCTGGTTCCAGGAGAGCAGCGTGTACCGGGACGCCCCCCCCTTCGCCCTGGATGGGGTGTACATCTCAGAGCCGTGTCCCAACCACTGCGGGGGTCACGGGGACTGCATCTCGGGGGTCTGCTTCTGTGACATGGGCTACACAGGTATGTATTGCTCCTTTGTGGGTACGTGCCTCGTACCCCGTGGTCCTCAATGGTACGTGCCTCGTACCCCGTGGTCCTCAATGGTACATCCCATTCCATGCTTTTTATGGCAGTGTTTCTCAATCCGGTCCTCAGGGACCCCAGACTGTCCACATTTCCGCTCACTCCCAGATCTCAGCACACCTGAACCAGCTATTTGGTATTTGTGATTGGCTGGGAGCTGGGAGGGAGCAAAATTGTGGACTTTCTGGGGGTCCGGCATGAGAAACACTGCTGTATGGTACGTGCCAGTCGCCTGCAAAACAAGTCATGAGCATGAGATCTGCTGAGTGAAAAGCGGGGCGGATGGAGGAGAGAGAAGAAGGATAGTTAATATTTAATATTAAAGGCTAAAAAATCTCAACCACAGCACCTTTGCTGAACTCTCTTCACACT